TTCCTTTTTATTTTATCAAGGTTTAACTTTTGAAAACCTTTATGTTTATATGAATTATTCAGTTATTTATCTATGTTCTTCTCCTGGTTTAAATTCTTTATGATTTATATATGTGAAACAATTGATCACTATTTTTCATAATCTTGTATATTATATGGTGTATTTGGTGAGGGTAATTTAATAAGAAATGGAAAAGAAAGGGAGAGATTATCGGAGAATTAAAAGAAAAACATGTGTTTGGAGGAGAGAACTTGAGTGGATTTGAAAGGATATCATGGTGGAATCCATAGAGATTTAATTTCACTCTCTTATGAGTGGATTTGTATGAATTTTTTCACAAAAAAAATATGTTTGGACGATACTACCATATACCATTGTCTAAATGTATATTTGAAAAGGTTAATAAAAGGTAAAAATGTAATTATCTAAATAATTTATTTTTACATGAAAATCGAACTATTTAAAATACCAATTTTCATATATTTCTCACCTAATTTCACTATATCAAACAACTACAAATTTCACTTTATTTCTTACCTATTTTCTACCAAATCAATTATCACTTATTTCCTTCCATTCCTTTTGATTGCTTCCCTTCCTTCAAATAAACCATTAGGAAAGATATGGGAAATGAACCTAAATATTGAAATCCTATGCATTATACTTAGGCTTTAAATCATGAGAGTGAGTTTAATCCTTTGACAATTGACTATTTGAGAATCAATGGTTGAATTGAAGAACTTCTCATTTTTTTGGGGTTTTGGGAAAAATGGGGTTTTTGGTGATTTTGATGCGTCTGTTAGATGCATGTTGAATCTGAAGTTATTTTTGAATTGTGTGAAGCCTATGTGTCCCGTTCTAAATTTAGAACGGGCCGTTCCAGAGTCACATTTTGCTTGTAACGGTATGATCCAGAACGGGCCGTTCCGATTTTGGAACGGGCCGTTCTGGGTCAGCTCTAACGCCTATAAATAGAAGTCTGGGGCACAGTTTTCAAGCCCGGAAAAAATTTCGTCCAATACTCTTCAAAGCTCAAAATAATTTTCTTTCTCTCTCCCCCTCTCTTCTGTATTGCTTGAGATCTGTGAGACACCTCTGTAGTATGAAAAGGTAGCCAAAAAGCACCTTCTTAATCATCATATTCGAAGATTCAATTCATTTGGTATCGTTCTTTTCTTAACTTCTTTTTTTCTTTTATTTATTTGTTTATTTTATTTATTTGTTTATTTATTTTTTGTTTATTTATTTATTTTTATTTATTGTTTGTACATAGTAAATATGATTTGTTGCCTTTAATATTGTTATTTATAAAAATATTTAATATGCGACCAATAATAATGTTAATTGAATAACATTTTTATCTTTAACATTATTAGGTCCTGAGAGTTTAATGACTAGTCATTTGCTAGCTTAAACTCTCCTTAACAAATTTGTCTTTTTTAAATAAAGATATGTTGCAACCAATAACGTTAATTAAGTAGCACTTCTATTTTTAACGTTATTGGAGGGATTTATTGTTTAGTCATTTACTAACTTGAATCCTTATGCAAAATCTATTTCTTTAGATAAAAATATAAAAATATAAACATAATGTTGCTTTAATGATATTAATTGCGTAGCATTTCTACCCCTTAATATCATGTAAATCATAAAAGTTAATAGAATAATTATTTGTTGTTCTAACCTTTAAGCCTATTTTATTATCAACAAATAAAAATCAATAACATTGATTGAATAGCAATTCTATCTTTCATGTTATTGGGAGGGTTTATTGATTAGCCATTTGCTAAACTAAATCCTCATGATTTTTTTTTTAATAAAAAAAATACAAAAGAAACATCTCTCATATTAAAAAAAAAAGATATATGTATGTATACACATTTTCGAGGAATAAAATAAATGTTTATAAATTTATATAATTTTGCGCAATTAATTAAAGGTACTGTTTTTACAGGCGTTGTAGGGTGCTAATACCTTCCCTACATGTAATCGACTCCCGAACCCAACTTTAATTTTAAAGATTATCTTTTAAAGGGTTTTCCAATGTTTTTCCCTTAAAATAAAATATTGGTGGCGGCTCCATTGAAAAATAAATGTTAGCGTCATCCCGTCGTGATCTCGGTTACGACAATTACAATAATTAATTATTGAATCTACATTTAGATACTAAATTTTGTTTTTAATAACATTTTTTTGGACAAAACTTATTCTTTAAATATTTAATACAATTGCATACTTATGATTAATGTTCTACATGTTTGGTTAAGTTGAAAAAACTTCGCCATTTTTTTTATCATTATTAATTTACTTACGATCCTTTTTTATATATTTTTTGTTCTAAATTTAGAAATTATTAATCTTATCATGTCATTTTTCTTTCTTGTTATAAAAATATTGTCACTTTACATTTATCATATAATTTTATCAAATCCATTCAATTTAATCAATTAACTTATAAGTTTATAACTTTTCAATTATCAATTTATAACTTATAAATTATTAATAAACCTATAAATTAACTTTACCAAATATATAATTAGCAAAGAACCAAAATTTAATGTCTAACTTGAATATAAAATAGTGACTAGAAGTATTACTCATTAGGGATGAGAATAAGACAAGTCAGGTCAGACTTTGAATATATAGACCGAGTCTGTTCTATGAAAGTAAAGCCTAAATCTAACCTACTATCTATCATAAGTTTTTTTTCTAGGTCTGGTTTGGCCTTGTTAAAGTCTGACTTTGCCTATTGACCTATTTAAAAATCTATTTATATTAATAATGTTAATTAAACCAATAATTTTTTTTTTAAAAAGTCAACAAATTTATTTTTTAAATATATTTTACTCAATATTATTAAAATTAAAAATTTAAAAGAAATATAGGAAAAAAGTGAATTATTTTCTTTTGAATGGACAATTCATACGTATGCATGTATGTTGATGTACACTCAAGCGTGTAAGCTTATAAACCTATAATGAAAAAAATAATTGTACAAAAAATATTTTAAATATTGATAATTTGTTTTTACTTTATAAATTTATTTGTTTATTTATATTTTTAACAATATATGTACATTAATTTTTAATTATATTATGTAAATAAATTTATCTTTAAAATATAGTTTATTTAATATTAATAAATTTTAAATTTTAAATAAAATATAAAAGAAAAAGTGAATAATTTTCTGTTAGAAGAACAATTAATGTTTAGTCATGTTTGTTGATGTACCCCTAAACTCACGCATAGATCATAAGTTTATAAACCTACAATGAAAAAAGAATTATTATATAAAAAAATGTTTTTAAATATTAATAATTTTTTTAATAAATTTATTTGTTTATTTATATTTATAACATATATATATATATTATTTTTATTATATTATATAAATAAATAAACTAATCTATTAGACTTAATAGAAATTTTTAAGTATAAATCTATTTTTTTATACAACAATTTTTTTTAAAATTTAAATTTAATCTTTTATTAAATAGGTGAGATCAAATTAAAAGAGAAATTATATATCATATTTAAAGTCTGACACCGTTCAAGTTATAAATCTTTATTATAAAAAGTCTTTTTAAACTCAACGCGTAGTCATTTATTCCATTCATAGGAAAAATAAATGGCGTAATTGTTCCCACTTATATATATATATTTTTTTGAATTCCTTTCTTTATTTTCACCGCTTTCTTCTAAAACTCGTGATACTTAAAAAAATTGTCTTAAATATATATTTTTGACTTTCTTTTATAACTATCGGATCGGCTAACTTTTTACTCTCTCTCATTTTTTTTACATCAATTTTTTTAATGAAATTTTATTTTATTTATTTTTAAATTTTAAGATAATATTAATTGTTGTGTTATTATTTATATCTCTACATTTTACTTAAACTTTTAATTAATTTATACATAATATATAATATGTATTTATCATGAAATAAAAAAAATATAAAATCATTTTATGAAAAATAAGAAAAGTTATTAATTTTTTATTTATGTAAAACAACAACTTTAAACGATCATTATAAAAAAAAATGGACGTTGTAATATTTTTTTATATGATCATTTAAAAAAAAATTTAAAATTTCTATTTTTTAATTGATATTTTAAACTTTAAAATGCATATACGAATACTTTTTACATATGATATTTTAATTATATAAATTAAAATCACATTATGATATTTTTCACTAGATTTAATTTATATTAAAAATATAAAAAAAAAACTTTTATAAATTAAAATATTATAATATAATTCTAACATTAGTATTTTATAATAATACGATTTTATCAGAAATTAAAAGAAAATAAGATATAATTTAAAAAAATAGTAGTATAGATCACAAGTAATCCCCAATTGAGGAAATGTTATTCAAATTGAGTAAGACCATTTTGGATTTGGGTTTAACACAATTATACATTTAAAATAAGATTTTGAACATGTATGATGAGTTGATTAATGTGTTTAATAGTAGATATGAATAAATTAAAGATAATAGCATACATAATAATAATAATATTCAAAATTAAAAGAAAATATAATTTAATTTGAACTTAAATTTAAAGATAACAAAATATTAATAAGATTTTTTAATAATAATAATAATTTAAAATTAAGAAGAAGAAAAAACAAATTTCCTGCTGTGTTAGCTAAGCACTACGTATCAAGAGAAGAAAGAAGAAGAGAGTGCAAGGAACTCTCCAAAAATAAGTACTCGTATAAAATATATCAAATAAATTATTTGAATGAAAACTAATTTTTCATAAAAAAATTTAATGTCATTTCTTATAAAATAGTTAAATTTCGTCACGTTTTCGGTTTATAAACTTTTTAAATTATTTAAAAAAAATCAGTTATTTAAAAAATCAATTGTTTGCAAGCGTAATTATTTGTTTCACAAAATTAAACTAAATATTTAAAATGTCTACTCTGAATTTCAAAGAAACACTTCTTTCATTTAAATATATAAACTTAAAAAAACATAGCTGCAAATGGTCCCTCAATTCAATTGAATTCTAAAAAAAATGCTTTTAGATCACTACTAAATGATAATTAAAACGCACAATCTTTTCCGATGGAAAGAAACACAAAGAAATCACTGTATCTTGATCCAAATTCCCTCGCTGGGAATATCTTGATGAACCGCAAATAGCAAATAAAACCCGGGTGGTGCAAGCACGGCGGAAGCCGGCGCCGTCACCTCAAATTCACAACTCGATTTTCCACCAACATTAAGCTTTCCAATGGACAACACCAGCAGCCTCTGATTCATGGAGAAAGAGTGCGTGTTAAACGGCGGCGCCAGCATCGTAACCGTCAACAACTCGGGCACGACCGTCCCATTCACCTTGATACTCATCTTAAACTTTTCACCATACGTCACATTGGCATGCGAAACAGGCTCTACAATCATCGGACGCACGTTAGCATACTGTGCGTCCAAATAGTAAGGCCAAAACGCCTCTAACCTCAACTCCGTAGGATATGTCACGTTAAAAAATCGATACTTCTCGTGAGGGTTGCTGCCACCAACGATAACCCTTCCATCGCGAACCAAAACCGCGGTTGAGTGATACATCCTAGGAATATCACTCGCGGTTTGCAAGATGAACCGTGAGCCAACCGGACTGTTTGGTTTGTAAATAACCGGTTCGAGAACCGGGTTTTTGCCCATCTCCCACCCGGCCACTCCCAATGAGGCTCCATTTATAATCAAAACGCGGCCGTTGGGGAGCATGAGCATGTCGTTCATGACCCTCCCTCTGGGCATGGTCTCGACCGTCCACGTGGCATTGGGATCGGTAATCTTAATCCTGGCGCAAGAATCCATGGCTGGGGAGAACACAGCTTTGCGCACAAGCTGAAAAGCCCCCCTGCGGGCCCCACCGCAGATCAAAACCTCAGCCTCGACAGTCGCTGCTTCTAAGTTTCTCAAAGGAAGCAAAACCGCGGAACCTGTACTAGGATAACACCTAGGATCTCCTCCTGGTATCTCTGGGTACGTTCTCAATACCCTACGGTTTTTGTAGTTAAACAGAATGGCGCGGTTGTTAGCGAAAATGAAAAGATTTCCATCCACGTTTAAAAAAACAAACGGGTAAAGGTTGTTCTCCACGCCCTTATCATTGGTTTGAAGCAAAAAAGGTAAATAGTAGGGTCTTTTATGCTTAGTGTGTGTCTTAGGATGAAACTCGTAGTTAAACTCTCTTCTTCCTCCGATTATAATTTGTCGTCCATCAGGCAAGTGCACATTGGTGGAGTACCATCGTTTAACGAGGAGGGCGTTATCGATCTCTTGCCAGTCGCAGTCGCAGTTTTCGCATGGAACGAAGTGCCTTACTTTACGTTCGCCGTCCCCGTAGCCGCCGGTTTGGATGAGTGTGCCGTCTGCGACGGCGGAGCCGGAGGAGCACCAGACGTCGGTTTGGATGAAGAGGGCACGGAAGGTGTTGGATGCGACGTCGTATTCGACTGCGTGAGCGGAGCAGTCTTTTTTGAGAGCCATCTCGGTGGGGTCGTAGCGACACTTGCCACTGGGAAGGGTTAGGTTGGATAGGCCGAAGTCGGTGCGGTCGTAGATGATGACTCGGTCGTTGTTCAGAAGCTGCATGTGCATGGCCACTACGCCTATGCTCTTTTGTAGGAGCTGCCACTGGCCGTTGGAAGCTCCCGAGAGGAGGAAGAAGATGGAAGGTAGAAGAGAAACAAGAAGAAGAAAAGTTGACTTATTCATACTTTTTTTTAATTCTCTTGGATTGGATGAATTAATGTGGTGAAGATGATGAATGGAATGGGTGTTGTAAGCTGTTGCATGCACTGGTTTAAATACTGCTGCACTGCACTCTTTCTCTATGTGCGTGCACCACTTGCAATCTTGCATTATGCTTTTCCCATATTCGAAGGATACTGTTCGCACCCTATTTAATTCCACGCATTGTTTAAGGTTGCTTTAATTAGTAATTCTTCCCCCCTTTTAATCGTCTAAAGTTATTGCTTAACTTATTTCACTCCTAACTAATTAATGTCGTCTTAACTTAATTTCTTACGCTATATATTTTACGCAAGATAAATAGATAAAATAAAATTATAATTTTATAAAATTACTTTCTTCACTATAACAAAATGCAACACATTTTATTAAGAGATAAAACTTTTAAAAGGATTTTAGTACTTTAAATCATTAATTCTTAATTTTTAAGTATAAAATATCTTAATTCAAAAAATATGATAGAACATAATAATCACTCTTAAATAATATTAAAAATATAGATAAAAAAATAGGAACAGTAGAAAAGTTAAATTACACATTTTAATTTTTTCCCCTATCATAATACTCAACGAGGGATGGACGGAATTGTCAATTTATTTTTATTCAGATCTCGCACTCTCGCTAACTAGTACTCTAAAGAAGCAACAACAGTTCGTATTTTTTTTTTTAAATTATAATAAAGTTACACATATGAATATTAAATACATTTCTATTTTTTTTCTTCATTTTTTACTCCTTGATTACTAGTTTTGGTGAGCATTTTTCTTTTATTAATCGTTTCATTTCTTATGAAAAGTATTGAATATGTTTAATATTTTTTTCTTAGTTATACTTTCTTATGTTATGAATATAAACAACAACAACAAAAAATTAATTGTATTAATTCCGTTGAAAATATAATCTAATTTTTATAAACCACCTTTTATGATTTATCAAGTAATAGAAAGATTAGTAAAAAAAAAATAACATTACTCTCATATGTTTAAAATGTTTTAGTAGACATTTTTAATATTTAAACAAATAATTAGTATAATTAGTAATTTTATATATATTATTAACGTTTATATGTAGCTTCTAACACTTTATAAATTAGTTCAACTAACCACTGAAAATAAATACAGTAATTTATAAGTTATTATTATTACTATTATGCTTATTTTTAATATTTTTTTATATATAAATCACATGCTTGTTTTTCTTCTATAGGTGGCAAAGTTTTCTTTCAAAACATTTAACGTTGCTAATTTATTTGAAATTACATTTACCTCAAATAATTAAATATGTTGAGTACATTTTAACATACTATATAATATTAAGTTTAAAATTTTGACAGTTGGAATATTAACTAATGATTTTACAGTTGTAATATTAATTAAAAAAATATAACATCTGTAATACTAATTGAAATTAAAATTTTAAAAACTATAAGAGAAATATATTTAAAAAACAAGATTCACAAGCATTTAAAAAAAAAAGAAGATTTTTTAAGAGTCAAAGAATTTAAGTCAAACTGTCAAAATCAAAGTAGATTGCTTTTTTATTCTTGAGGAAAGTATATTTTTCCACAATTAATCTTCATTCATAATGGTATAGAACAAAAGTATCGTTAATTTTTTTTACATAAAAAAATCATATTTTTATCATTAAGATAGTGTTCTAAATACAATAAAAACTTCATTATTAATATTCTCGAAATTAAATAAAATATAATTTATATCCAAAGAATGAATTATACCAAATTATTTTTACATCTACTATATTGAATAGTAATAGAAGTAGAAGATTTCATAAATTTTTTTAATTTGATTAAGAATTATGCTATACTCATAAATATTTTCATTGTTGTTATGAATTTGATCTACTATTAGTTTGCAATCTAATTCAATGATCACATTAAAATTGGTGACCACAAAATCAACCAAGAGTATGCAATATATAACACTTGTTTTATCCTTCTTTAATTACATATTGTCTTTGATAAAAGATGATTCTTGCTTGCAAAAAATCACTTCTTTCATTCTTTAAACAAGCTTTATTTTTTTAATGGAGGATAAATTCACACATATAATAAGGAAAGTTTCATAACATACGCACAATATCTGTTTTTTCTCATCAACATTCAATATTTTGTAAGCATTTAATCAATTTATAGGAGAAAATCTTGTTTTATTCAACATTGTATCCACTTGTTCATGTTTTGTATCCCACACCATTTCATTCCTTCTTTGCCAAATATTTCACATAATTTTTTTAATTAATTTTTTTAATGATAATTATTTTTTTAAGAACCTAATAACTAAGAATTAAATAACTATCATTAATTAAGAACCTAATAATTAATATTTTTTTAAAAATACAACAATCACTTAATATTATAAGAAACAGGGATAATAAGTAAACTTATACTCGTTGGCAATACCCATACCGTTGGTAATATACAAACTTGTCTCGATTTTGACGGAAAATACTCGATTTGACCGAGTACATATATGGATAATACCCGATTTATTGAATTAGATACGGAGATGTGGATAAGTATATACATACCCGTCGTGTATGCGTACCTGCTTTAAATTTCTAGAAACTTAATTTTTTTTAAGAATTTACTTAAAATTTACATGATTCTTATTTCTTTTTGAATTTATTTCAAATAAAACTTAATTAATGTAATTTTGTAATTGTTACTTTATGCTAAAAAATTATTTTACATATTTTTTTAAAAAATATTTAATTAATTTTTGAATGAATATAAAAATACCCGATACCTGACGGGAAGAAAAATGAGAATGAGAATTTCATACCCATCAAATATGGAGATGGAGATAAGTATAGGATATGAGAACAAGAATAAATACAGAGATACTAAAAGCCATTCCCTATTCAACAATCACTTAATTAATAATTTTTTTCATTCTATAAAAAAATTGAGACAGTTCATCTGTCCAGAATAAATCAAGAAAAGAACCTAATAAAGTTCGGATATTGATAAAGTGAATTTAATTTTATTTGACTGAAGAATTTAATTCTTATTTTTAGCAAATACTTTAGTGATTATAAAAAAAACAATTAATTAAAAATAAATAATGCATTTAAAAGAATGTTAATGCAGATTAACATTTTTCAAAGAATAAAACAATCTTACTTTGATGCATGCATGCATTTCGAGTCAAATATGCATCCATTGTACCTCCGATTGAATCCATTCAATAAAGAGAATACTCACTCGTTCATGAATGGTTTTGCAATTAGTAATTGTAACTTTTAATGCGGTGAATCAATAAAGCCTTTTGATTTTTCACTTTTCCATTCAGTCAACGCATTACAGATAGATTTTCACTAATTCAGCAAGCGACAATTTAATGTTCAATGGGAAAATAATTTCAGCCATTTTGTATATACTTCTCTTTTTAAACTAAAACACTTGGCTTGTATGATTTTTTTTCTTAATTTTTTATAATCATTTTAAAAATAAAAAAAACTTTTATAAAAATAACAAAACATGTTATTAAATAAAATGATAACTATATGAAAATATGAATATTACAGAAGTACAGGAGATTTGCCCTGTTTTATAATGCAATATCAGTTTTGTAGATGTTTAATTACACGGAGTCCTAAACTTTTTCATGAAATTTAAATATAGTACTACTACATACATATGCTGCAATCCCACCTCTATCGATATATACACTAGTTAATTAGTTTTGGTGATATATGTTTAATTAATTTTTTGAGTATAAAATTAAATTTAAAATATTGGGTGTAAAAAAAATTTCACTTAAAGAGATATCACTATATTATATCGTGAATGTTCTCTACTTAAATGAAATCAGCTTTCATTTCTAAAATAAATTTCATGAAGAATATGTGCAGTTTTTTAATTCATAGATTGAATTCAGTTTAGGCCAACTTAAGATATTTAAACACACACAAAAAACTGAATATATTTAAACACATGCGTTATTTCAAGAAAAACTACCCTATCCAGTGGTAGTCCCAGTTGGGGAGTGACAGGATTTGAAGATAAATATGTGAAAAATAAAATAAAATTATAATTGTTTAGTAGGGTAAAAATAGAGAAATTTTAATTTTTAATAATAAATTAAATAATTAATTTAGATATATTATTAATAAAAATACACATGCATAAGTTATTTATTTTTTAAATAATAAATAATATTTATATTATAATAATGAATTTTATTATAAAATATTAAAACATATAAATTATATGTATAATCGTTTATCATGATCAATTATAATAATATATAATCATCAACATAATCAATTCTATATATATACATAATCGATTATCCCAATCGATTATATATTATTATGAACATTACATATAGAGAGCTATATTTTATATACAATTGATCATTTGAATTAATTATATATTATAACAATTATAACATATTCAGTTATGTATAAATATAATTCACTTTGTCAAGTATTTTTGACAAAATGAGAGAAAGAAAGGAGCAATGAAGGAATGGTGTTTTTGTTGTTTTGCAAAATTTCACGTAAATCATTCTATTTTAGTGTGTATATATATATATATATTTTTTATGGAATTTACTTTACCTAACTTCAAATCCTCACACTTTCCCTCCTCAAAACATCTCAATTTGTTTTATTACCTACATTTTTTTTCTCTCTCTCTCGGTCTCTCTCTTTCATTTCAAGTCAAATCCTTGCTCCCAAACTCACCGTTAAAAGAATTTGGATCTTTTCCTGCAATATTCTCTCTCCAGTCTCTCTCCAGCAACACTAATAACCATTAGATATATCTAATGACTCAAATTTAATCTTATAAAAATCATTTAAGAAGTTACATTAATTATAAGATTAAATTTGTGTCATTAGATATATCCAATGATTATTAGTGTTGCTGGAGAAGAATATTGCAGGAGAGAATCCAAATTCCCGTTAAAACACATGTTATATATTGTGTTATTTTTATTTATTTATTGAAGTTACAACGATAATTATATATTTTTATTTTTATTTTGAAATATTAGTTAAGGAAAAAATTATTTTTCCATTGAAATATACTTATTATATAAAAAACAAAAATATTTAATACTTACATTTTTAGATAAATAGTTTTTAGTATACATGACAATAATATATTTTTTTAGTTTCCTTCAAAATAAATAACATACGTAATGTTAACAGATATTATAGATCATTAATAATATTTTTTTTATAATAAATAAAGTGATGAAAAAAAGTAAAAATATAAAAATAATTCTATATAAATTATTATGTAAAATTTATATTATAATGTAACATTACTTCATTAAAAATATAATAAAAAAATATATGGCTGATAATATAAAGTTATAGAAATTGGATGGGTGGGCCCGTGAGTCCAGACTAATGAGTAATGAATGATCAATCTTTTCAAACTTGCTTCCTCGTTATTCACTGACACGCCGTGTTTTTTTACCTCTTTGTCATGACAGAATTCTGTCCGCCAATCAGACCACTCCAATAAGTATATTTTTTTATAATTATAATAAAGCTTTTAAACTATATAGGAAATATGCAGAATTAATTTATATATAATCTTCAAAATACACACAAAAATGTAAATTAATATAATTAAAAGAAATTCAAAAATATAAAATAACATATATAATTGTTTTTATATAAAAACTCAAAAATATGTAAGAAACTAGAAATCATTTAAAATATTAAAAACTAAGCATTTTGATTTTAATTTTTTTTTACAAAAATTACATTTTAGCCAGGAATAAATATTTTTATATATATAATTATTTAATTATATAAATGATTTTTTTAATTTTTTTTCTTTATATAAATGAATAAAGTCAATGTAAAAATAATATTTAATTTTATTTAAATTTAAGAAAAATATTTTTTTATAACCATTTAAGAAAAATATTATAATCAAAGCAGTATTGTTTTAAAGGGAATAGTATGTGTTAATATAGTAAGAGAAAATAATTTATTCACTAATAGTTTAAATTTATTTTATATTATCATTTAATTAGATTTTGTTATGTGTAATAAACTTATTAAATTTTATAAGAAAAAAACTTAAAATTATGTGATTAAACTATGTATACTTATATATGTAATTGACTCGTAAGAGAGATAATAACAATAATAAATGGAGCTATACTAGTTTTCTGTCTTGCGGAATATCTATAACTATATTTATAATTATAATAAATGCAATAATTTTTTTTACATATTTTTTTTAAATTTTATTTTTTTAATCATTTCTTAAATTAGTATACAAACTAGAATGATACTTATGTTACTCTAATTTTTATGTATGCTAAAAATACATTTGTTCATAAAATTATTTTTATATTCAGATAATATAATTAATTATTTGAACTTTTTTTTTTAAAATATAGAAAAAAGAGAAGTATTAAAGATATATATATATATATATATATATATTATTTTATTTAAAATACTTATAAGATATAAGATTTTTTAAAATTTATTTTAAATTTTAAAAAGAATTTAACTCATCTTGAATTTAATTATTTTGTAATTTTAAAACGTGAAACCATAAATATATTTAATTATTTTACAACCATATTGTAAATAAAAATTTATTACATTTATAATTTTGTAATAATATTTTGAAAATATTCTATAAAAAGTTATTAGAAGTTAGAGTGACAAAATGTCACATGTCTTACCATGCTAGTTTGACTTATCCCGTTATCATGTCCTATCCCATCTTATATTTTTTTTTAGGTTCGTTCCTGGAGTATCCACCGTCGACAGCAGTGACTAATCTTCTCGCTACGTTGGAGGCACCTCAAAGGGTGGGATAGCTGGCTCCAAGATTTAATGGGGCTGCATACACAAGGCAGGATTCGAACCCCTGACCTTGCTTAAGCGTGGATCAACCCCTACCGCTGAATCACACGTTTGGGGTTTATCCCATCTTGTTTTGCTTCATCTCATTTCATTTAGCAAAGTAAATTCAAAATTTTAACTCACCTTTTATAATTACGGTATGAAATTTTTATTTTAAATTTTAAAAAATTCAACTTATGTTAAATTTAAATATTTTATAATTTAAAAATATAAAATGATAAATGTGTTTAATTATTTTACAATTACATTATAAATAAAAGTTTATTACATTTATAATATTTATAATTTTATAAGCAATATTTTAAATATTTCTTATGGATTAATAAAAATTTATTAGAAGTGAGAGTGACGAACTGTCTTGTGTCTTGCCTGTCAAATCATCACATCCTGTATAACTATTGGTTTTGATCCCTACACACTATATGACACAACTATATATTAGCAGGGAAAATATCTAACTCAAGATTATAGACTTAAAAATATGATAAACATGTACTATGCTGCATACATATAAAGATAAGCAACTGCATAAATATGCGTAATTTATAAATTTATAAATATAGTAATCTGGTAAATGTAAACTATACAGTCTAAGTTATAGATTAAACAACCATTACTATCTATACAAATCTACCATCATTAGGTAGTCAACAAAAGATTCAGGTTTAGTGTCATTGCATGGCCTCCACTACAACACTCTAAACCTATCATTGCCTTTCTCCTATACCACATATGATCATCATAATCCAAACTACGTATGGAAACATGTTAGGGTAAGATAAAGTAAAAAAAAAAATCATATATACAACATAAGAATGTCACATCGATCATTATCTCATCTCTAATCAATACAACACAAGCCATCACACTATACAACACATATCAACACAACAACTTGGTTTCAACACAACAATACATTTCATTATAGGTTAACACAACATATGAACAACACAATCAACTTTATATATATATATATATAAATATATATATATATATATATATTTGTTGCATGAATGTCTAAATATTATTGTATGATAACCTTAGTGTAATTGACTTATACTTAATTTTCACTACTTAATTGATGAATTGTAAAGTGTAATGATATATTGGATCATTAGAATAAATAGATAAATAAATAAATAGAAAATAGATAAAAGAAAAAAGAAAATTTGAAAAAGAAAAAGAAAAGGGTTTAACTGGATTTTTTTTTTCTTAATATCTAACGCATGTAGAGGCTAACATTCTTTTAATAATAGTAACAATTATCGGCATTCTTTGATTAACTATCCACTTAAATATAATTTTTATAATTTATTTATTTTTAAATAGAAAGCTACCAAGTGTTTCTTTTTTTATAACAGTATGGATTATACTGTCTTAATTAACATCAGTTAAAAGTTAAAACAAGGGGAGGGGAACTTGTTACCCGGAAAGGCTTGCCATTTGAATAGGAGCTTAACTTCGTACATTTTTAATATGAAGATTTTTATATCATCAATTAAATAAGAATCATTTTAAATGCAAACTTTAAAGTAATTATTTTAACTACATGAAAATGACAATTCACAAGTAAATGAATTTAATGCGTTTTAACTAAATTTATCAACATATGCTGTTACAGAAGTAGTGTCACATTTAGCCTTGCTGGCTTGTACTGGTCTATTCTATTATCTACTCATTAATGTAATACCCACCAAAACATAGATCAAATGGTGCCTGTGCCCATAACAAACGAAAATTATCTACAGTAGAAACCATTGTCTTCAGATAGAACTGATCTTAATAAATTTATTTTTAAATATGATTAGAATGAATGCTTAATTTTACGAAAATGCGACAAATATTTTTTACCATTAAAACAAATAGCGGATTAACCCCCGTTTGTAGTTATTTATTTATTTATTTATACATTGCGACACTTATTTTCGTACTATAAAAATTACATCTTCGTCATTTTTAACAACTTAAAATAAACTCTATGAAATTAATTTTATCAAATTTTAAAACAAACGGGCTCACTTTAATTCAATTCTGGAACTAGTCTGTTGGAACTTAATTGATTTTTCTTTGAAGTAGAGTGGTACCCCCAACATATGTAAATTATAATCGTCTATCTTGAAATTATTTTTTGTCTACTTGGTTGGAAACTTGACATATATCATATCTTACTTGTTCCAGTGACAGTGACTTACGTATTCCTTCATCACTAAGTTTGATTTGTTCTAGCATTTGCCTTGCTAACGAAAAAAAGGAAAGAAACAACTAGCTAGTAAATGGAAGATGTACAGTGAGCATTAATTTAGTTGCATTAGCTGAAATTAATATTGCCTTTACTTTTTTGCCCCTAAGTAATTAAATTTTATTGGCGCTGCCTCTGAGGTTGATAAATCTACGTTCTTGTTTCGTGCCAGCACAGAAAACTTTGCCATGTAGGAGTATAATTTTTGGTTACTTCATGTTTTATAATTTTATATTTTTGTTATGTAATTATTTTATTATATATATATATATTACAGTAAAAATAGGAAAGATTAGAAAGATATTGATACTTTTAAGAATAAAATACAATCGAATTATCCGTAAACAATAATTACAAACCCCCATGAATCATTAATTTGAATTTTATTTTCTGATGTGTTTCACTAAATTAATGCTCATCACCTACGAATCTGTTAACTCCAGACATTGAGAAGAATAAATAAGTTAAATAAAAGAACGTAAACATATACGAAGGATGTTGTCTGGGAGCGAGTGGTGAAAAATTAATCACACCATCCGGACCCAAATGCCGTGGCTTGGAATTTCTTGATGGACCACAAACAGTAGATAGAAACCGGGAGGTGCAAGAACAGCCGAACCGGCAGCAGTAACTCCAACCTCGTACGTCCATTTCGCAACCTCCCTCAGATCCTGCGCCTCCAGCACCAGCACCCTCTGATTCATGGCGAACGAGTGCGTCGTAAAAGGCGGCGCCACCATCGTCACCGACACCGCACCCCGAGCCAAACTTCCCTTCACTTGGAACCGCACCTTCAACGCCTCACCGTACTTGACTTTCGTTTGGGACGCAGGAGACACTATGCTGGGACGCACACTAGAGAATCCAGCCTCCAGATACGAAGGAGAAAACGCCTCCAACCGCAATTCCGTTGGAAACAACACGTTGCTGAAATTGTAGTAAGTGTGAGGGTTGCTCCCCGCCACAAGAACGCGACCGTCGCGAAGCAAAACGGCACTCGAGTGGTACATTCGCGGAATATTAGACGCGCTTTGGACTTCAAATCGTGACCCGACCCGGTTCTTCGGTTTGTAAACAAACGGGCTTAAAACCGGGTTGCGGCCCATTTCCCAGCCTGCAGTCCCCACGGCTGCGCCGTTAATGATTAAAACGTTACCGTTTGGGAGCAAAACCATGTCGCTCATGACTCTCGCACCCGGCATGGTTTCCATGGCCCAAGTCGGGTTCGGGTCGGTTATTTTAATCCGAGCGCACGTTTTCAACGCTCCAGTAAAACGACCCGAGATAGTTTGCTGAAAAGCCCCTCGCGGGGCTCCACCGCAAATTAAGACCTCAGCTTCTACATTGGGCGCGTGTAAGTTTCTGAGAGGGAGCAACACAGCAGAACCGGTGCTGGGGTAACACCGTGGATCTCCACCTGGTATTTGAGGATACGTTCTGACGACACGGTTCTTATTGTAATCGAATAAGATAGCGCGGTTGTTGGCGAAGATAAAGAGGTTGCCATCGACGTTTAAGAAAACGAAGGGATAAAGGTTGTTTTCAGCAATGGCGTCGTTGGTTTGTACGAGGAAAGGTAAACTGTAAGTGTTTTCAGCAGCTTTTGTCTTGGGGTAAAACTCGTAGTTGAATTGTCTTCTTCCGCCGATTACTATTTGGCGTCCATCTGGCAGGATGTGATTGGTGGCGTACCATCGTCTGGCGGCGAGTCCGGCGTTGATTTCCCGCCAGTCGCAGGTCGCGCACGGGGTGAAGGTTCTGACGGCGCGGTCGCCGTCGTTGAAGCCGCCGGTCTGGACGAGTGTTCCGTCGGGGGAGAGTGAACCGGAGGAGCACCAGACGTTGGTTTGGACGAAGAGGGCGCGGCATGTGTTGGCTGCGACGTCGTATTCGAGGGAGTGAGCGGTGCAGTCGGTTTTGACGACCATCTCGCGTGGGTTTGTGCGGCACTTGCTGTTGGGGAAGGTTAGGTTGGAGAAGCCGAAGTCGGTGCGGTCGAGCATGATGACGCGGTCGTTGTGGAGGAGTTGCATGTGCATGCCAACAATGCCGATGTTTTTGTGGAGGAGCTGCCACTGCCCCTTGCCGGTCCCGGTGGCCGCCGCCACCATGTGAAAAATGAGAAGAGGAATAATTAGGAGGGAAAGTGAAGGTGACATTGGTGTGGCTTGGGAATAAGAATAACTTAGCGGTGAGATAAGGTGGGGTGCAATATGGCGTCGCTACTGCACCCTTTAAATACTCTTCAACTCACCACTACTCTACAACCTCCATAATTATTAAATATATATAGTCTCAACCAATCATGGGTTTATTATTATTTTTTAATTTATGAAAATAAATTACTAATATTTAATTATATATCGGTTAAAAAAGATTTCGATGAAGACTAACTAATAACTTTTTTGTGAAAGCTAGGATATATCATACACATACTCATAAATACTTCTCCCACACGCAAGGGAACGCGTGGGATACTCACTCTTCTTCCTACAAACTAGTTTCTGCACGCCCTAAACGTTTCACAACGTGCATTTTTATTAGTTTGCTGGAAAATACTTCAAATTCGTCTTTTTTTTTTCTTCTTTTTTTTCAAACTTTAATGAAAGTTGCTCTGAATCTGCAGCTTGACTTTATTATTTGTGAAACCAGTCATTATATAGAATGACCGTAATAGAATTACAATCAAATAAAACAAATTCTAACAAATCAATCTTATCAGTAAAATTAACTAACAAACTATTTGTTATCAGATTAACAATATCAAAACAGATGAATCTTATCCCAATACTCACCCTCAAGTTGGAGCATGGAGGGAAGAAATGCCTAACTTGGACAATAAAAATTGAAACTGCTTTCTACCGAGAGCTTTAGTTAGAATATCTGCAGGTTGGGAATCAGTCCGAATGTATTGTGTGGAAATAGTTTTGGACATCACATGTTCTCGAATAAAATGGCAGTTGAGTTCAATGTGTTTTGTCCGTTCATGAAAAACTGGATTAGAAGCAATATGAATAGCAGATTGACTGTCACAATATAGTGTCAATGGCATGGAATGAGAGACACCAAGATCTTGCAGAAAAGCTTCGATCCATAGTAGTTCAGAAGTGGCAGCTGCCATGGAACGATACTCGACTTCAGCAGAGGAACGAGAAATTGTGTGTTGTTTCTTAGATTTCCATAAAAAAGGGGATTGACCGAGTGTGATAAAGTAGCCAGTGCTGGATCGTCGAGTAATAGGACCACTTGCCCAATCAGAATCGCAATATGCACGAAGATGAAGATCACAAGTGGAACGGATAAGTAGTCCTTGACCTGGATTACCCTTAATATAATGCAAGACTCGCAACACTGCATCATAATGTTTTTGGAGCGGATGTTGAAGAAATTGAGAAAGTGTATGTACGGCATAACTCAACTCAGGTAGAGTAATGGTAAGATAAAGAAGGCGACCTACAAGACGTCGATAACGTGTGGGATCATCGTAAGCTGGACCATCTGCAAGGGCCAATTTATGATTCTGATCCATGGGAAAATCAGATGGTTTACACCCAAGTAATCCGCATTCATGCAAGATATCCATAGCAAATTTGCGTTGACTCAAAAATATACCAGAGGAGCTACGAGAAAATTCAATACCGAGAAAATATTTAAGTTTGCCAAGATCCTTGATTTTGAAACAAGAGCTAAGATGAATCTTAACTTGATCACAAGCAGATTTGTTGTTTTCGGCCAAAAGGATATCATCAACATATATAAGAATCGCAATGAAATCCAGATCTCTTATGAAGGTGAACAACGTGTAATCAGCTTTGGATTGTTGAAATCCGAAATTAAGAAGAGAGTCACGAAGTTTAGCAAACCAATTTCACGGTGACTGCTTGAGACCGTAAAGGGAACGTTGTAATTTGCATGCAGAGCCAGGAGAACCAACAGAAAAACCAGGAGGAAAACGCATATACACTTCTTCTTCAAGATCTCCGTGGAGAAAAGCATTATGAACATCCAATTGATAAATATCCCATCCTTTTGCAACAGCTACAGAAAGAAAAGTGCGTACACTCACCATTTTTGCAACAGGAGCAAAGGTTTCATTATAATCTTCTCCTTCAATTTGGTTATTACCTGCAATAACTAATCTAGCTTTGTATCTTTCTATAGAGCCGTCAGAATGATACTTGATTCGAAAAATCCACTTACAAGGAATTGCTTTCTTTCCTAGAGGGAGATAAGTGACAACCCAAGTGTAGTTATCCTCAAGAGCCTGAATTTCAAGTTTCATAGCTTGTTGCCAAAGTGGATCCTTCATGGCTTCTTTAAACGAAAGTGGCTCAATGGGGTTAATAAAAACAGCTAAGAATTTTTGGTGTTGTGAGGAAAAATTATGATTAGTAATAAAGTGCTCAATAGGATAAAGAATACTCGAAGGAACGCTAGATAGAGTGTTAGGAGAAGAGGGTGTAGTAGCATTGCGACAATAATAGTCTTTAAGACGTGCCGGTGGTCGATGAGATCTACTTGTACGTCGAAGAGGCATGGAAGATGGAGATGAAGTATCAATAGAACTCTCCCTTTGAACAGACTCTGGATCAGGTAAAGGTGCAACATCTGAAGAGGAAGTACGAGTATCATGTGGTTCATACAAAATCATAGATGTGGAAGTAGGATGTATGGGAGCTGGAGGAATGTCCGTGGTAGGTGATGCAAATGGAAATTCATCCTCAAAAAATTTAACATCACGAGAGACAAAAATCTCCTTTGTATCTAAATTAAACACCTTCCAACCCTTTTTGTTAGATGGGTAGCCTACAAAAACACATTTTTGTGAGCGTGCAACAAACTTATCAAACGGTTTAGGCAAAACTGTAGCATAACACAAACAACCAAGGACCCTAATATGGTCATAACTGGGTGGAGTATCATGAAGTACTTCATAGGGACATTTTCCATTGAGAAATTTAGTGGGAGTTTGGTTAACTAAATGAGCAGCTAAGAGAATACATTCACCGCACAAGTCAATAGGAAAATGTCCATTAAATCGCAAGGCACGAGCCACATTAAGAATATGACGATGATGTCGTTCGACTCTACCATTCTGTTGTGGCGTATATGTACATGATAATTGTTGAATAATGCCACGATTTTCAAAGAAAGAATGCAGATGGGTAGAAACAAATTCAATCCCAATATCAGTTTGAACCCTTTTAACCATGGAATTAAGTTGAGTTTGCACCATTGTAATAAATTTTATTAACGTAGAACATGCCTCATGCTTGTCACGTAAAAGATAGACCCATACATGGCGACTGAAATCATCCAAAATAGTTAGAAAGTAATGAGCACCAGATGCAGAAACAATTCTATATGGTCCCCATAAATCACAATGGATTAAATCAAAGGAGTGCAAACTATGTTTTTTATTGATAGGGAATGAATAGCGTGTTTGTTTGGCTCTACAACACACATCGCAATAAACTATTTTATTTGATCTAGAAACAAATTCCAACAAATCCAAATAATGTTGAGAAGGATGTCCCAAGCGTCGATGCCACAAATTGAAAGAAGAGGAACCATGAGTCGCATTTACAGAAACTGATTGGCAAAGTACATACACCCCTTCATGCTCAACACCCTGTCCAATCGTCCTCCTCGTCTATAGGTCCTGTAAAAAATAATTAGAATTATTAAATACAGCCATGCAGTCATTGGAGCGTAGCATTTGAGAGATAGAAATCAGGTTGCACGTAAGAGACGGCACGTAAAGAACATTGGTAAGTAGCAACAGAGATGTAAGCCTAACATCCCCGCATTGAATTGCAAGAGTACGATCACCATTGGGTAAACCTATTGAACAAGGAGGGATGGTGCGTATGTTAGAGAGAAGAGAGACAGTCCCAGTCATATGTTGGGAAGCCCCACTGTCAAGAAGCCAAGAGTGTTTGGAAGATACTATACCACATAATTTTTCAGTGGGCGTTTTGGAGGAAACAGCGATTGATATCAACCGTTGAAGCATTTCAGGAGTAAAATCAGTAACTGATAAAGGTTTGGAGGGGCCACTATCATCGGAAGATGCACCAGATTGAGTGGCATGAGCAGAAGTAGAAGCAGAGCGTCCTGTCGAAGTGCGACCACGTCCACGGCCGCGACCAACAGGAGGGCGATCGGGGTAGCCATGGAGTTTGTAACAGCGAGAAACATCATGATTAGGATGTCCACAGTGAGTACAGGTAACACGTAGCTTAGATGTATTTGTGGGTATATTAGTGGTGGCGGCACAACCTAACGCGTCTACAGGGTTCTCAAAAGAACGAACAATAGCTTTATGTGATTCCTCTTGAGTAACCATAGCAAAAACGCGACTAACGATAGGAAGTGGATTCTTGTTGAGAATTTGAGTGATAAGTGTGCTATAAACAACATGATCGAGACCCATAAGGAATTGATATACTCGATCGTGTTCCTGTTCAGCAACAATTGATTTTCTAAAAGCACAATTATCACCGGTGGTGCACGCGTCAAACGTTTGATTGGACTCCAGTTCATCCCAAATGGACCGAAGCTTTGTGTAATACTCTGTAATAGTTTCACCATTTTGTTTCATGGTTGCGAGAGAAGCTTTAAGATGAAATATACGGGGAATATTAGCAACAACAAATCGTTCCTTGAGATCATCCCATAGGCCTTTTGCAGTATTGTGAATCCAACTATTAATCATGGAATTGCACAAGGACCAAGCATATGCTTCATTAGAAGCTTTATCAGTAGGAGCGATCACATTGCCAAGAACAAAATCAAGATTGTTTTTGGCTTTCAAAGCATTACGCATCAGCTTTGCCCAATTTTCATAATTGATTTGCCCACGTAATAGAACGGTGGTAAGAATGACACTAGGATGATCAGATGGATGAAGAAAAAATGGTGACTTGGGATCTGTAATTTTGAGTGATTGTGTTGTAGAAGACATGATGAAAATTTTTTTAGGATCGTCAAGTTCTTGATACCATAATGGAAGTTACTGTGAATCTGCAGCTTGACTTTATTATTTGTGAAAACAGTCATTATATAGAATGACCGTAACAAAATTACAATCAAATAAAACAAATTCTAACAAATCAATCTTATCAGTAAAATTAACTAACAAACTATTTATTATCAGATTAACAATATCAAAACAGATGAATCTTATCTTAATAAACTTACTGTCACATTAATTATTATATATTTTTTCCTCCTACTCTCTTCTAT